AGAGAGATGCCAGCCATACCTAGAAGCAGAATCCTTGATGTGGTGGAGAACATGTGCAATTGCTCCTGCAAATTAGTAAGCACAAGTAAGCTGTGCTTACCGTGATTACTTGGTAATTCAACGTGGGGCTGGTGGATTGCGTTTAGATAAAGCCCTTGATTAGTGTTTGGGAACCAAGTAGACTATTATTTTTCTTTTTATTAGTAAACATTAAAGATCTACAGGAAATGCACAGCGGAGAGAATGTGGCTATCACGTAAAAATGGCATGGCAAGACTGCATGGAGGAGGTAGTCATTGGAACAGGCTTCAAAAGATAGGCACGGGGGAGCTCACGATGTTGTTCCAAACCCCCACGCAGAACTGGGAACCAGCCAGGGCTCTGGGAAAGGTGACTTCGTGGGGACAATGAGCCTGAGTCTTTGATTCTACTTCCGGAAGGCGGGACATCCTGGAGGGGGCCATTCTTTAAGACCCAATAGGCCAGTTGATGGCCTCTGTTCTGTTTGCACTTTATCTTTTTACTTTATGGGGATTTTATAGATGCAGTTCACAAAGGTCCCACTGCCGTAGAGAAATACATGTTTTGAATGCTGTTTTGAACATCGGATAGGAAGGGAAGTATGGGGAAATGTCAGACTGATGGGTTAGTCAACTACCTTAGTGATCTCTGGGAAGCCATCCAGAATGTTGAGCAGAGGTATGATTGATTCAAGGAGTTCTAAGGGCTCAGCAGTTAGCACTTGACGGCTAACCCAAAGGTTCCTGGTTCAAATCCAGCAGCCACTGGGCAGGAGTAGGGTGTGGCAATCTGCTTCTGTAAAGACGACAGACAGCCTTGCAAACCTGAGGGGACAGTTTTGCTTGGTCCTAAAAGGGCCATTATGAGTCATTCTCATATTGTCATTAGTGGGTGTCGGGAGTTCTGTACCGAGTCGTCCTTGAAAAGATGACGCTCAAGACCTGGTAGGACAGAGTACACCCGATTCGCTTATCCCACTCAGAAGTTCTAATTCGTCTATTGAACATATTTATTGAGGGCCTGCCGAGTCTGGGCCAAGAAATGTTTTTCCCGCACCGAAGATCGGATCCCTATTCTATAAAGCTTCTGTCACTAAGTCTGAAGCAATTTAACAAACACCACTTTCAAAATCGTATTGCTGATGAAAGTGAGAGGAAGGAAATGAGGAAGTGCAAGAGCACATAGAGGGATTGCTCAGATACTGACAAACACTTTAGCACTGGGACTACTTCAGCAAGGACCCAAACCATGGGACTTAAGCTGAAACTGCTCCGGCCAGTGGCTCTCTGGGAAAAAATAACCTAAGAAGGCTGTCTGGGCATCCCTAGTCCCATGTGAAGAGTAACACGCATCCCGATTCACTTTAAAGGGTAACTCCACAGTGTAAACTCCAGAAGGCAAGGGCTACTCCTCAGTCAGGAAGACCTTACAAGTCTCCTTGGTGGGTGCTCATCGTATAGCTGAACAGTTGGGCAGCAGGCCTCAGATCCATGGGGAGAAGGGCAAGCAAAGGCATTTAGATTGCTGGGAACCCAGACAAGCAGGCTGAGATTCAGAGGAGAGGCGTACAATATAAAATCATGAATAAGTCCGAAAGCATTACTCCAAAATCATAGCACTCGTTATGAAACAAAGATAACCTAATGGGAAGTTATGGCTTCTCAAAAGTTCCTCCATCCACGTCAGTACACTTGTGAAGGTGGGGTTTCCAGCCCTTCGCCCAAAGAACTCTGAGTGCTTCAGTTGAGCATCCTTGCATGATTCAAACCATGTTCCTTTTACATGTGCTTTGGGTTGCAGGAACCAAACGAAGGACAAAGGCCAAGGTCCTGCTGTAGGTTGGATAGGTTCAAGTTTCCCAAGCAATTCTGCTAGGACAGCCCTTGCTAATTTGAAAGAGGAGTGAGTGAATTGGTGTGAGGGGAAGAGATTCCTCAGGGCAACTTTCCCAGGCTTTGTTATCTCGAACCCATGCAGTGTTTTGCTTTCTTGAAACATTTTCATAACGCGCCCAGATCCTCAGGTGTCCTTCAAGAAGATCTTATCAAGGTTACCCTCTGGGAATCTCAGCAAAATAGTTGCCTTAACCTTTTCAGCTGATAGCGCTGCCTGGACTCTTCAGGGCCTTCTCAACCTTCTGTGAACACTGGATCCATTTAAACACGTGTTGTCCGTGGGGCAGCATCCCCATACATAACGTTGCAAGCACCGGTGATTTGGAAAGATGCCACTTGAGTTTTGTTAAGAATTTAATAGGAGACTGCCCTCAACATTGCTTCCTCCCAGGGCAGAAAAAGTAGCCCTTCTCTGAAGATAGCCCAGTAAGACGAAGACAGTGTACACATTAGAGACTTGTCTGCAGCCATCCAGTGACTCAAGAGACAGGTTTACATGTATTCGGACTGGCAAAAGACAGGCGTGTGTGAGCTGCAACCCTGGTAACAGTACTTTTTGACTTACCCTCCTCGGTGTAGAAGACAACAACATGAAAAGCCAGACAGAAGTCTCATCGGCGACTGAGCCAAGATGGGGAAAGCGAGAGGAAGCTTTGGCTTCAAACCTTTGTGTCCTTTCAGGCAGCTTCCCTGTTAAATCTTAGGAGAGTACTTTACAAAGTTCATAGAGAACTGGAATTAAGTTATGGACTTTGGCCCTGAACTTTTGAGACCGCTCTATGAGTAGAACATTTTGTTATTATCCTTCTAACCCTAATCAGCTGGCAAAGCATATGGAGTAAACAGAGTTAGATATGAAAAGTCGACTCCAGTGGGAACATGAGAGAACAGAACAGCCAGGCTCATGATACAGCTGAATGAATGATTGAATGAATGAGTGAGAACAATTGTGAAGATGTCGCAGGACCAGGCGATGTTTCATTCTGTTGTACAGAATCATTCTGAGTCGGATGGCACCCAACCTCCACCGCCACCACCACCACCACACCACTGAGTCTTGGAAACTATTGCTTCTCAGCTCCTCTCTGGATGGCAAGGTTTTAGAGGCAACCCCTACTGGCTCTCCATTGCTATGTAAATTGACCCTCCTTTGAAAACAATTGAATGACAGGCTTGGCTCGCACAACAAACTCAGCAGCACCATTACCTTCACTTGCTTACTAGTGGTGAAGGCTGCCTTTTCTGGCAGTACTCTAAAGGAACAACCAAAAACCTCACTGCCATCAAGTGGATTCCAATTCATAGGAGTCCTTTAAGACAGAGTATGACCGCCCAGTTTCACAACTGTAACTCTGTGGCAGTCCGAATCATAGCCACCTGTTCCAACTTGCCTTCAAATTCAGTGTAAAGACAGACCTGAAGATGGGATCTTGTTTGTAGCCTGAAAGGACCTGCACTGAGCTTGGTCGTGTTTGGCACAACGAAGGTACAACCGGCCGGGTGCGCAGAGCAGAGTCACGCTGGACCAGACTGACTTGCAGATACAAAAGACAAGACTGGCAGACACCAATGGTTCTGATGTGGAAGTTAAAATGTGTGTGCATGTTATATATGCTATGCATATTGATTTATATTCATATGGGGTCAGTTCCTCCATTAGCGCTATCTGATATGGATTTTC